TAATATCTAGGCAATAGGGTGGGGGATTTGGCCATAATGTGTGTGCAGGGGGGGGGGGGCAGACCCCTGGAGCAGGTGTTTGCATGGCTGAGATTGCTGGATGGATGAGTTTAAGGGTTTTTGAAAGGGTTTCCTGGAGGGGGGCGACGGCCAACCCCAAACCCGGGAAGGACTGCAGCTGGGTTGTGCTGCTGAGGAATGAAGAGGTACCTTGAGGGAAAAGCATCAGTACTTGTGGGAATTGCTGAAGCAGCACACACATGGCTCCTGACCACGTGCAGAGTGCAAGTGCCTGTGCGATGTGGATGGGCTCTGCCTTTGGCCGCAGGACAAGAGGGTTTCCCAAACAGGGTGAGTTCCCTTCAGCCAAGGCTTGGCCAAACCCTCAAAGGAATCTTGTTCTGCCAGAAAGACCAAGAATTTGTGTATTGTTTTAAAATGAATGACCCCTTTAAAGGCACAATGTGCCCTCATGTGTAAATTACAAAGAAACAAAGGTTGCGAAATCCAAACTTTCCTCTCTGTGCCAAAATTGTACCTTTTCCCTTCGGACTCGGCTTCTGAGTAAGGTTCATGATCCATGTTTTAGATTCTGCGGCTATAAAATTCTCATTGCAAAGGCCCAGCTGAATGTTTAGACAGAAATTAGCTGCGGCTTTCCAGCTGGGAAGGCAATCCCACCCCACGTGTAAGATATTGGTTGTGATAATGCAGGTAGCTGTGGGAAGCTGCGTGGTTCACATCTTCTGAGTGCGGCTCATTCCTTGGGAACGAGGGGCCAGTTTCCAGCAGCAACGTGGCCAGATATCACGGCTGTGCCCCGATCAGCCCCATCGGTGGATCCCCGAGCCAAGCAGAAAGCCATCTCAGGTGTGTCAAAAGGGGTTTTCCAGGTGCATTTGTGTACCTTCATGAGGTCATTGTCTGAATTCAGACGAGGCTGAGGAAGGCACTGACTTGGGGACGAGAGCGATGGGGAATGAAGCCCCGACCCAGAAGACCCTTTCTGTGGCCCAGGCAAAACAGAGCAAGTGTTCAGCGTGTGTCTGAAACCTTTTCTGTCCCCGTGGTGAGCATGAGCCAGACCTGGGAAGAAAGGCACTGTGTGCAGGATACCACCTTAGTGAACTTCTCCTGTGGAAAAGCCCCGTGAGGGCAGGGGACATGGGCCAAGCACAATCCAAGCAGATTTCCCTACCAAAATGGGGAACAGCACTTTTTTTATATATTAAGTTTTATTCAAAATAACCCTAAAACAAAAGAAAACTAAAAACAACATCAATCATCAGAAATATCGGACCTGCTGGGCCAGCCCCCACATTTTTTTCCATTTATGATAACTTAAAAACATATTTAAATTTATACAAAGTCCCGTTTCTCTAACCAATAATAAAAAGAGTCCCAAGTTTGAAAGAAATGGGAACAGCACTTTTTATGTGTTTACTATGATAAGGACTCCTTGGGGACTTTTCCCCATTTTGAACTTTTACCTGGGCGACCGCCTGGCCCGGCGGCTTCCTTTCCCCGGAACGGCGCCTCTTATTACCAGGGCAATCGGGCGCAAGCGCTTGCTCGCTCGCGGTGGCTTGCGATCTCTCGCCTGCCTCTCGGCCGCACAAGCACCTGCAGAGAGCCAGCCCAGGTGGCTGGATCACCATGGCCTGCAGGCTGAATGCTAGCAGGGACTGGAGCCACGCCGTGCCGGAAGGAGCTGCTTCCCACCCCGCCGGAGAATTCGAAGATGGGGTCCATCGCCCAGAAGAACAGTGGCCCTTGAAGACCGGTTTGGCTCTGGCCTAAAGAGGGTGCTGCTGCGGACTGGCGGGCTGGACCTGCGGGCTGACCCAGGACTGGAAATCCCAGCTCCGGACGGGCCCAGATCCAAAGACTGACAATGCGTTGTAACTTACTCTTTGCATTGTGTTTCTGGACTGTGTTAGGGAGAGGGTGAATTACCGCCTGGGGGGTGGCGGGCGGCGGCTGGAGCGATGGGACACGGGCTGAACAGGTTCTGCCTGCTCTGTCTCAGGGGCAGGAGCAGAAATCTATTGGGGGGAGTGAAATTTAGCCCCTTTGCCCTCCTAATAGGGCAGCCCCAGAAAAGCTTTAACTTGGCAGGGGGTTGGGCTGCTTGCATCCCTCAAGGCTGGAGGCATGGCTTTCCCTCTCAAGGGGTACCCCTGGCTGCTCCTCTCACGGCTTCCCCCAAAATCTACCCCCAGGCAGGGGAAACCCTCACCTGGTTCCAACTGGGAATTGGGCCTGGGAGAAAGCGCCGCTGGGTGGCGGGATGGGCGATGCGAGTCGACCGCCTTCTGCAGGGCCAGTCCATGGCGCTTGCTGCCCGTTTTGGGCACGGCGAGCAGGCAGGGATGCCGGAGGGGGCAGGGCCGAAGGATGCAGGGAATGGGACTCCCGTCCAAACTCACGGCCCCCCCAGCTCCAGGGCAGCAAATGACAGTTCCTCCTGCCCAAAGGAAAGTCCACGGCCCTGCGCTGGGTCTTGAAACGGGCGTTTGGGACGAAAATGACACCAAGCAAAGCCCGGTGGCCTCCAGCCCCCCCCCCGGAGGACCCCCCTCCCCTTGGCAATTCCGCCAACGATGAGGGATGCTTCAGGAGTGGGGCAGAGGAAAAGGGGGCATGACCCTGTAGGTGGCTGCAGGGCCTATAAGAAACGTCCATCGCGGCGGTTTGGCTCCGGCCACCTGGCTGTTTTGAACCTGCCCTTCTCCTTACATGTAACTCCTGAGGCCTCCTCAGGCCAGTGCTCCATAACGGAGCTCAGCATGCCCAGGAACCCACCAAAAAGGCCAAGGAAATGGGCCCCCGCGCAAGGAGAAGCGCTGTGCTCCCTCCCTCCATCCCGCTGTGGGGCAGCCTGTGGAACCCCCGGCCGCCCTCCGCCCCAGGTACCCGAAGGAGCGAATCCTCCATGGGACTGGCGAAGGGCTGCTGTTCGTGAGCCAGGAGCTGGACCGGGTGCGTGCAGTGATGCCCCCGGGGGGCTGGCCCTGGACCACCTGTCGCAGGGGAGGGGTGCTGTGCTCAGCGAACCAGGCCCCCGCTCAGCGGGTGTGGTGGGCTGGGAGGCCCGCCTGCCCCCCATGGTGCTGTCTGGGAGGGCTAAGCCCACGGCCTGTCTGGACGTGGAGGACGCCAGCCCACCACGGATCAAGCCCGGTCGCGAGCCGGCTCATGCCAGGGCTGCGGGGGCCGGCTGGCACGGCTCCCCCTCCTTGCCGCCACAACTTGTCTGGGCTTGCTGCAGCCCGCCCGCCCTTCCAACGCCTGTCTGGGCAGGGGATCACGAGAGCGGCCGCTCCGCCGGTTTTCGCGATTCCCGTTCGGGAGCTCCGGGCCGAGGGCCCCCACGGTGCCCCAGCCTGTGCAGAGAGAAAAGCAACCTTGGCTCGCTTTATGAAGCCGTTTTAAACCAGCTTTAGAAAGGGGGTGGGGTGTCCAAAGGACCCTTTGCAGCAGCAGATTTTGGAGGGCTTTTTCCCAGGTGCAGAGATATCCGGTGAGTTGTCCCCTCAAGTCCAGGTAGCTCATGGATCCTAACAAAACTCCCTGGAGATCCTGCAGGAAGGGTATGTGGCGGTCACCCCCCCCCGTTTCCCCCTCCTGCAGCAGCATTCCTGGGGTGCTCACATGTCCTGAGCGTACCCACGGTTTTGCTTGCAGCCCCAAGTTGGAAGCACCGCACCGCGGGCTCTGACCTTGTCAGGTGTCAGCCAGAACCCTGTTTCCGACGTGGGACTTGGGAGGGGTTAACTGTTTGGCCAGGAAGACGCACGGCTGTGTCTGTCGTGTTTATGCACCTGCAGCTGCCTTGCCAGACAGGGAACCGGGAAGCCCCCCAGCCGCCGCTGCAAAACGTGGAGCTCCAGCCGGTGCCCAACCCATGGGATTGAGAAAGGGAGACGTGTTTCTCCCCCCCCCCCCCCCGCCCACATAGCACTTGAACCCAGAACCGTCCCATGCAGCTGATGGCTGGGAGCTTCGGGACGGGTGAATCGCCCGGCTGTTCCCCATGGCTGCTTTCAAGCTGCAGGTGAGCCGGTGCAAGGCTGGATATGGCTTTTGATGAAAGTGCGAACCGGGGCAGTGGGAATTGAACCCGGGCTCATCCCACACAGCCGGCTTTGGGAGGAGGTTCAGGACAGAGAAAAGGACTTCTTCACACGCCCCGTAGGGAAGCCAAGATATTCAGCTCCGCAGAATGTGGCGACGGCCCCCAGTCGGCACATTCCTGGAGGCGTTGCTGGCTGTGTGCGGCGGAGGCAGTGCGCTGGGGTGACCCCTGTGGGAAGAGGCAGAGGGATCCCGAGTCTGCCTTGCTGTCTTTTCGGATGCCCTTGTTGAAGCACAGAAAAGAGCAGACAGGCCATCCCCTCCCAGGGGGCATCTCTGTGCCTTCTCCGCGGGGTGTGGAGAAGGGGCTGCCCTGACTTGTGGTGCGCTTCAAGATTTAGGGTTGTGCAACTTGCCTGGAAAGTTTGGGGAGTGGGTCAGCCATGAGGCAGCAGAGCGGGACTGCCACCTGGGGACCTCGCCAGGGATGGCAATCGGGCCTTTCCGGATACCGAGCAGGGAAGCCTCACCAGGCAGAGTCAAATAAAGAGAGGAGGCTTGCTCCTCCAGGCTGAGCCCCCCCCCCCCCACCGCCAGACCACACATCTGCCTCCCACCCCTCTTTTTCCCCGGACAGAGGTGCATCAGCTTCCCGGTCTGCCCGATTGCCTAGTTTGTGGCATCTCAAAGCCCAGCTCCAGTTCTCGGCTCTCATTTCTCTCATTTCTCACAACCAGAGCTTCAGACCAAAGCTGCTTCTCCAGGCAGGCTTCTTCGTGAAGCGGCGTTTGGTGTAACTCCAGCGCTTGCCCCTTTCTGCCCCAGACTGTGAGCCTGTGCCTTTGGAGGTCTTGGGCAGCCTTTCTCTTAGCCCACCCACAGCCCCCGGGCTGCCAAATCGAAACGGAGGAGACCCGCGGCCCCGTGGGAGGTGGCAAGCTTGCCAATGCTTTAATCCAGTTTCTCCCGTACAAAACCCGTAGGCGGGGGCACGCCTCCAGGAGCCCCTTCAGATCTCAGACACGGAGAGGCGTGCGACGGCATGCGACATCGGGCCGTGCCGGTTGCCGTGAATCTGGCACTTCCAGTGAGCGCCACCGCCGGGCTCCAGCAACTCCACGGAGTCCAGAACGTCTGGGGAAGGCAGCACAGAGACAAGGAAACCTCCGGAGGAGCAAGCAGTGCTGTTTTCTCACAACCACCACAATTGCGCATTAGCATCGTTCCAGGTGCCGTGCGCATCCCTTTCACAACAGGGGCGTCAAACCTTGGGCCCTGGGCCAATCTGACCTCCCTCCATGGAGCCCTAATCAGCCCGGGGGCTCCTCAGGCAGCCCCTTCTGCCGGCCCCACCCCGTTGTAGGAACCATTTATTTATTTATTTGGAGTTTTTGTATGCCGTCCCATTCGCATGAGCCTCGGGACAGCTTCCATACAATAAATAAACAAACCATATAAATAATGCACATAAAATCCAGATTCACCCTGGCTGTAAAATTAAAACCAATAGATAATATTAAAAGTTGTTAAAATATTGTTTAAATATAAAGGTCTTGGCCTGGCGCTGAAAAACAAATAAGGATGGCGCCAGGCGGCCCTCTCTGGGGAGCGCATTCCATAGGTGGGGCACCACCGCAGAGAAGGCCCTCCTCCGGGGTACTTTGCTTCCTGATGTCTCTCACGGAGGGCTCCCGGAAGAGAGCCCCTACTGCCGATCTCAGGGGGCGGGAGGGCAAATATGGACACAGGTGTTCCTTTAGGTATCCAGGTCCCAAACTGTTAAGGGCTTTGTAGGTGATAACCAGCACCTTGAATTGAGCCCGGACTTTGATGGGAAGCCAATGGAGCTGGTAGAGGACTGGGGTTATATGAGAACAACGCCCAGTCCCCGTCAGCGACCTGGCTGCTCTGTTTTGCACCATCTGAAGTATCCGGACTGTCTTCAAGGGCACCCCACATAGAGCGCGTTACAGAAGTCCAACCGGGAAGTAACCAATGCATGCGTCACTGTCGCCAGGCAGTCGTCCTCCAGGTAGGGACGCAGCTGACGGATCAGCCGAAGCTGAAGGAAAGCGCTCCTCGCCACCGCTGACACCTGAGCTTCCAGGGACAGCTCTGGGTCGAGGAGCGCTCCCAGGCTGCGGACCTCCATCCATCCTCCTGCGGCTTCCCCACCCTTCCTTCCCATTCTAAAAGGTGAAAAGCTTTTCTTACACCTCACTGACAAGCAATAAACGCCATACGCTAAAGCGTGCTGGTATTGCTGTGTGCTGTTTTGCCGTGACCCCTGGTTTCGGCCTCGCACGAGGCCCGCACAGCTTCTCCGAAATGGAAGAAACCGTTCACAACTTGAAACGCGGAACGGGGCTTGGTCCGGTTTGTGCTGCGGGGGGCCACAAAATGCCCCAATGGGCTCTTGCCGCCGGTTCTGTCACCATCCAGTGTGGCGGCCTCTTCCAGAGAGGTGCAGGGTCACTACCAGCCCCTTTGCGTGTGTTTCCGCCCAGGCTTCTCCCTCGGCCTTTCTGTGTGCTCCCTTGCACAGCCTGCAGGTGGCACTGTGGTGTGGCAGAATTACGCAACCCCAGGGGGCTTTCTGCACCTGCTTTTCTGCGTGCGAAAAAGCAGCCACACAAATGGATGCGAAGCAGGGAGAGGCTCTGGGGATGCTGACACCCCCACAAGCTCCACGAGGGAGGGAGTCCAGCTGCACAATTAAGGCCTCGTGTAGAAAGGCTGCGAATGTTTATAACACTGCATGTGGATGTATCTGGAATCCTAGTAAGAACCCTGCAGGGTAGGCCGGTGCCGTTCATTCTGACATTGCTTGTCAGAGGCTGGGGAACAGCGCCTGGATCCATCCACTGACTACATCAGGGCTGCAGGAAGTTTCCGGTTGGCGACTCCCTTGCCTGCCTCTCGCCTTTCTGAATTCCGCCCAGGCAAAGCAGGTGAAGACGTGGGTCAAGCTGCGTGCCCCAGGTGCGCACCTCTGCCACCCACACCTGGCGATTTTCCGGGCAGGGTATTACGGCTTTGGCCCTCAGTCATCAGTGAGATACTGTGCCCAAACCCCTTTCACGAGCCACCCACTGAGGCAGTTTGGAGGCCGGGTGGGGGGGGGGATTCCTTCCAGCACCCTGCCCAGTGGTGCTGGGGCATGCTGGGAGTTGTAGTTCAACTTGGAGGCCACCGAGTTGCCTTTACGAACTTAAACCGACAGGGCTAGCTTTGCTGCCCAGCTCTGAGCAAGCCGTCCCGGAGGAGGGCTGGAGCGCCGGCCTGGCCAAGAGGTAAACATAGAAACACAGAAACAGAGTGAGTCAGAAGGGGCCTCCCGGGCCATCTAGTCTGACCTCCAGCACCAGCCGGCTCCGCTCACGACATGCCCCCCCTGTGGACGTCCAGCCTGTCCTTGAACACCCGCACCGATGGGGCCTCAGCCACCTCCCGTGGAAGCCCTTTCCACTCCCTCAGGGTCCCAACTGTCAGGAAGTGCTTCCTGGCATCCAAATTGAACCTTGGTTCCTTGAGCCTTGCTCCGTTGGAGCATGTCCTGCCTTCCTCTGCAGGGGAGAACAGGTCTCTACCCACCTCCGTGTGACATCCCATGATACTCACTGGGGATCTCCACACGCTTGTCGGCGGCGTTCAGCTGCCAACCGGTTTTCCTCTTGTCGACCTGCAGGAAGAGGCGCCAGGCTGCTGCCAAACAGGGAGGGCGCGGAGCGTCCCTGCAGTCGGCTGCCGCTTCGAGGCACCGCGTGCACAGACACGGAGCCCTCTGTCCTTGCCCCGGGGGGGGGGGGGGGGCCCTTTGGCCTGCCCGTGCCGTGGCTCAGATACGCAAGATCGCCCCAGCTCCATTCAACACGCTGACGGGAAAACCGGAACCAGCGTCCCCGTGCATCCAGCCGGAGCTGGCTCCGGGGCTTTGAGTGCCCTGCGCACGGCCCCTGTGCAAGAGGCCGGGTTCAGACGATCCGAGGGCTGGGCACCCAGCCCTCCTCGCATCCCGCTCACCTCCTCCGCGGCTGGCCCTGCCGGCAAGCCCAGGCCGGGACCTGCGCGATGCAGGAGGCTCCCCGCAGCGGCCAGGAAGTGGCGCCAGGCCCTGCAGGTCCTCTCCTCCCAGGGCCGGTCCTGCGTGCAGCCGTGGGGGCAGGAGCCCGGGACCGCCGGGCTGGGGCTGGCGCGCCAGAGGACGCGGAGGCCCGCGGAGGGCGTTGCGCGCTCCCAAGCCGTGGCTCCTTCAATCGGCACGGCTGACCCGACTTGGTACCTGTCGGGAGAAGCACAGAAGAGGCAGGCGGGGATGGCTGGAGCCCCGAGAGCCCATTGAGGGCCCGAGCATCCAGGGTCTGCCCCAGGGGTGCTGAGTCTCTCGCAGGCCATGGCCCGATTCCACTTGGGAGAAGCTCTCGGGGCCGCTCCACAGCGGTGGGCAAGGTCAAAGGCAAAGGGGGTCATGAGAGAACCACCAAACAGATGAGCCTATTTTAGTTTCGGGCTCTTGCTGCTAGTAAATCCATCTTAGGAGAGGCCCTTCGCCTTTTAGGACAGGGGAAACCTGGACACAAGCCGCGACACCAGCACAAGATCGACATTTTGGGTTTGGGAAAGGGGTGGTGGCCATCTGGGGAGTGTTGGGAAGCCAGGTTTGGCTTCCCGCCTGCGATGCCTCCCCCCACCTGGCCTCTCTAGCCTGGCCTTCGGCGTGCCCTGTCGGAGGTGGTTATCGGTGGGTTCCTGGCGACCACCATCTCTCCAAAGGTCACGTCACTCACTTTGCTCCCTGCTGCTTGCAGAAAGCCCAGGGGTGCCGGTCCCGGGAGGAAGGTGGGCTGGAGTAGGAAGCCTGTGAAAAGAGATACGGAGAGGTCAAGACGTTCGGGTGCATTGCCAGGGTTCTCCTAGCAAGGTCTCGGGGCGACGGGTGTCCCCAAACGCACAGCCACGAAATCCAAAGCAGCCTAACAGAGCCATGGGTGGCCACATGCCAGGGCTGGAAGCCGCCCAAGAGATAACGCGAATTCAACACAGGATGGCAGGAAAATGCGGAGGATGGAAAGGCCTGAGAGAGCAGGAGGCTTCTCCAGCCATCCTGCCAGCCACTTTATTGCAGGCTGGTGTGACGTGCGGCACAGTGGCCTTGCCCAGAAAAGCTGCGGCAGCAGTTGGAAAGAGGGGGAATAAATGGAGCCAGCTTAGAAGGCGATCAAATCAGCCGGCATTATCAGTGCTTCTACACATCTGGCGGAAGGAGGCCACTTAACGCTGCTGAGCTGCGAGCTTTCCCCACGGCCAGGCGCTTGCGAGTGCGGAGAGGGCTGCTTGCTTCCTCTGGGAGAGGGCAGGCAGAAGCAAACGAGGAGGAGGAAGGAGCGGGGGCGAGGCAGGACGCAGCCAGGGGCAGGCATGGGCAAGGCAGGGAGCCTTCGGGAGCCTGCCGGTTGCGAACCGAAGTCTCCGGTCCTGTGAAGGGCCCTCTCCCCGTGGCTGCAGGCCGGAGCCCTGGTGCGGCTACCTGGTGCTTGCACTTGCGGTGGGCCGCCCAGGCGTTGCTGATCTGGTGGGAGAGCAGGATGAGCGCCGGCAGCAGGTAGAAGGAGGCGGGGATGGTCACCAGCACGCTGGAAGCGGGAGTCGGTCAAGGGGCGTGAAGGCCCGGCGCTCACCCTGGCGCTGAGCTGGGCTGGGAGGGGCAGGGGGAGGAGGAGAACCAGCGGGGGGGGGGGGGGGGGGGGGGGGGGGGCGGGTTGGGGGCCTGCGGCCGTCTCTGAGGGGGCTGGGGCCGCTCATCCCATGCAGCCTTTCTTTGCAGCTTTGCTGGAGCTCTCCGTGGTGCTCCAGGGTGGCAAGCCAATTTGGAGGAAGGGCTTTTCAGCACGAAGGGAGGCTCCCTGGAAGCTCTTGTGAAGCTCACGGGGAAAGCTGGAATGGATGGGGAGCCCCGCTGCCCTGGAATCCCTAGTCCGGCCTGCATCCCCGGAACGGGGTATTTGCTGCACGAAGCGCACGAGCCGGAAAATACTTGGGTTTGGCCGCAAGCAGAAGAGGGGCCACAGCTGCTGGGTCATGGATAACAGAACAAAAACGGGCAAGAAGAGGACACCCATTTGCGTAACATGCGCAGGAGTGATGATGATTTACCTAGACATGCAGGGCACTTCTCCACAGTGGAAAGGACTGCCTGGGTGGTCTAGGTTGGCCTGGGCAACCCCTCAAATTGAGGACCCCTTCAAAGAAAGGACTGCCCCCTGCCAGGCCTCCAAATGAGAGGACCGTCCTCTGCAATGTAGGACACCTGGCCCCCCCTGTGCTGCTGCAGCTCCGTTAAGCTAGCCACCTAGACCGCTTGCCTGGCGGGAGGCACAGGGTGGCCCTAGGGCGGGGTGCCCAACACTTGGGGGTACATCCTGGGCGCCCCAGAAAAGACTTTTTTGGGCAGGTGGGCGAGGCTTGTCCTAAGCTGGCTTTTGTGGGGAGGCCCATCGCAAAATGGCGGGGACACCCTCCCGCGACACCCGTGCCCGCCGGCACGAGGAGGGCCGTTCTGGCGCCCGAGCTCCGCCGCGAGTTCCGGCTGGGAAGGATACGTGCAAATCTTCTCCACGCTGAAGGCCTGCGGGGTGTTGAGCGCCAGGTAGACCAGGCAGGAGGCAAGCACGGCCAGGTCGTAGCCGCTCAGGAAGGTCACGAAGAGCAGGAAGAAGCGCAGGTTGTGGCTGCCGATGCAGTTGTTGACCCACACGCAGTGGTGGTCAAACTCCTGCAGGGGGCGCCAGAGAGTTACCCGGAGGCCTGGGGGCGCATCCCAGTGCGCCAGGGCCAGGTGGCGCCGCCTGCGCCCTCCCCACCTGCTCACACGCGTTTGCCACATCCAGCCTCTTGGACGGCTGCTTGACCCAGGGCAGCTGAAGAGCAGGAGGGCTGGCAGCGCAGCCCAGGGCCACGCTGGCCGGGGCTGATGGGAGCTGCAGTTCAGCAGCTCTGCAGTGTGATGGGTTGGGGAAGGCTGGCACACAGAGGAGCAGAAGGTCCCGCTGCCCCCGGTTGTTTTCGCAACTCCTTCTGGCTCTGCTCTGTTCTCTGTTCTCAGCCTGCCTCATTTTCGGGATTTAACAAGAGGGGCAGACCCCAGCATCTCCCCCCAGGGCAATCCTGTGAGCTTTCCCACCACTTCCGCCAGCTTTTTCCTTTCCCTGAAATCATCCACTGGGGAGGAAAAGGCAGAAGAGCTGGCCCATGAAAGCACCCGCTGCCAGATGCCCTCTCTCGGGACCCTGCTGGTCCTCCTCGCTGACACGACCTCTTCCTCTCGCTTGTGGGGGGCGGACTTGTGAGCGAGGGGACAAGAGCGCAGGCCCAGGGGCAGAAGTGGAGGTGCATGGGAAGCTAGCTGCCTTGCGGCCCAGTACTGCCAACACTGACTGGCAGCAGCAGCAGCAGCTGCCCAGAGGTTCAAGCGAGGTGTGTTCCTAGCCCTGGCTGGGGGGCCTGGAATCCTGGAGCAGTTGAGTTGGAAGGGGCCCAGGAGGCCGTCTTCGCACCCGGGATTCCCCATCTCCTAAGGATGCCTTTGGTGTCTTTTTCTAGGTGCAGAACTAGCCATCGGTCCCTCCGGATTTGCATTCCGTTGCTTTCAGCCCAGCGCTCCAACCTGCCAAGCTCACCCTGCATCTTCTTTCTGTCTTCCAGGGTATTAGCTCTCCCACCCAGTTCGGCATCATCTGCAGATCTGCGAAGTGTTCCTGGCACCTCCCCATCCGAGGCATTAATGAAAACGTTGGCAAGCACTGGGCCCAGGACTGAACCCCACGGTACCCCCCTCGTCGCCCTCCCCAGCCGCCGTTGAGGAGCACTCCTGGATGCTTTCCGGGGTCTAACGGGCGCCCTACAGGCGCAGCGGGGGCTGCACCCCAGAGCTGTGGCCCCTCCCCCAAGAAGCTCGGCTTGGCGGGGAGAACCTGCTGGACTGGACGGGGGCTCGTGACCATGTGGGCCCCCAACACTGGCCTTGCTGGGTGGCCGAGGTGGCCGTTGACGGGCCATGAGGCTGTCCTAGTCGAACATCGTCCTGGATGGTCACTCCACCGGCTGGGTGCAGCTGCTGAAGCCAGCAACCCTCGCCTGGCTTGGGATTTGGCGAGCAGGAGTCTCAGGGTGGGTTTCGGAGGCCGGGCTGATGAGAGACCCCTTTGGACCTTGGCGTTGTCTGCTTGTGTGTTTGCATCCGCAGCCCGGAAAGCACCTGGACGGATTTTCCCAGCAGTCACGTATTGCTGTGAGCAATCTGGGTTGCGAGGCAGAGTCTGGCCGGAGCCCAGTTCTGCACAAAAACGCTTCTTTCCTGCCTTTCTACTACACAACCACCAGGTGGAGCTGTGCCCTATTAGAGTAGCACAAATACACCTGGAGAAAGGGTAACATTTTACCTGCTGTAACTAAATACCTCATTTTCCCAGTTTTGAAAAACTCCCAGGAAAGTGCTCTGAAAAGACAGAAGAGAAACTGGAGGGTCACGACTTTGTCTCGGGAGCCCATAAACATGAGTAAGCCATCGCGAGCACACCATAAATGCCTTGTGTAGAAAAGCCCTCCAACGGTTAATGCCAATTTATTGACTTTGCGATAAGATGTTTTATGACGACGAAACTGCCAGAAACTCTTGGGAAATCTTGGGAAGGTGGTCACAGACTGCTGGGGGACCCCTGTCCCTTTGGGACCCTCTGGTGCAGCCACATGCTCCCGCCAACCACAATCCAATAAGCTAAGCTCAATATTTGCCCTCTGGAAATTCTCTCTTCGGCAGCTGTCCACCGACCCTAAAAAACTGGGCATGATCCTCAGATGATGGAGCCCTGGGTTGTGGTGTCCTTTTGGTGTACGCACACACCCAGGGAGGGTTGCGCAGCTGCTGGCACTCGTCCTGAAGGTGCGGCTTTGTGGAGCAACCTGCCCTTCAGCGCTTGCCAGCCTCCTGCAGGTTGCGACATCTACATGTGTATTGCACGGCATGGCCATCGCTTACCTCCACACAGGTGTCGCACCAGGAGCAGTGAAAGGTATGGGGCAGGCAGTACAGCTGGCACTGGTTGCACCAATGCTGGTCGAGGTCGTTCATGGTAACGGCCTGCTTCACCAGCTCCTCTTTGATGCCTGGAAGAGACGAGAACGAGGGAAGGCATGCATGAAACGAGCGGGGTGGCTTCCACCGTGGCCCCACCGTGGGAGCCACGAAGGGGTGGTGTCAGTCGTGCAATAAAATGTGGGCAGAAACGGCACGTGTCCCCCCTCCCCACCTAACAGACTTTGCGTTTGTGGGTTTTTTGCTCAGAAAAAAGGGTGAGTGTTGGGAGAGTGGTGTGGGAGAGCCTTTTCTTCTCCCCACACACGGCCCAGTGGGGTCCCCCCGAGGCTGAGGGAGGAGAGACTCGGGAGAGATGAAAGGAAGCGCCTCTTTACACAGCCTGTGCTTAAAGGAACGGGATGTGGCATTCTAAGATGTAGCTGGTTTGGTGTCCCGGGGGAGAGGTGCCATGAAGATTTCCCCCTCTCTAGCGGATTCTGACAACACCTTAAAAGCAGTCCTTTATCTGAGAACAACAGGTTTCCAAATGGCATGGATCAGTGGAATGACCTCTGCCCATGTGCAGACTTGAGTCCAAACTGGGACATGTTCCCCCTTCCTCCCCTGCCTGAGGGCCGGGTGGACAGCCCTGAATGGGCCCCTCCCTTGGCCGGACGCCCCCTGTTCGGGTCCAAGACCTCCTCCTCCATCTCCACCCCCTCCAGCTGCAAGGTGGTTCGGCTCCTGCACTCGGTCTGAGCCATCTGGCCTGGCGACCTCGGCAGCTCAGGGGCTTCTCACGCCATATCTGGGCTGCGGGGGCGGCAGCTGGAGAGAGACAGACAACTGACCACACTCCTGTGCCTTGCCTCCAGAGCTGTGAGGGTGGCCTGCCGGGGTGCTAGTCCCTGGGAACCAGACGGTGCTCGTGGGCTGGCCAGGGCATCTGGCCGGCCAGGAGGAAGAGGACCCCGGCCTCGGAGGCCGTCTCCTCCTCTCCTCGGTCAAAGGTCCCTGGCCACCTCGGCTGGGCCCACATCTGCTCTTTGCAGCAGCCGCTCGGCTTGGCAGGGCCGCTTCGGTGTGTTTGCTTTTGCGGGCCTCTGCTTTGATCTGGGCGGCCGAGGAGGCGCCAGGGGAGGGAGCTGGGTGCTCGGGGAGCTGCGACTATTGCACTGCGCCAGCGTGGAAGAGAGCGGCCACGTGGAGTGTGCAAGTGTGTGCGAGAGAACACAACGCAGGCCGTGCTGGGGAGAACTGGCGGCACGGGGGAGCGAGCAGCAAGACCCAGGGAAGGAGGTCACACGCCTTCGCCCGGCCGGCAACTGACCCCACTGGCTTGGACAGCGCGGTCAATGTGGCGGAAAGTCCCACAAAGGCCTTTGGCCACACCTGTGCTCACCACCGCTGCTTGACCGGGGGGGTGTACAAGAGGGAAAAGGTCTCCACAGGACGGTCTCCCCAGTCAGACAATGCCTGCTTGACCAGAGAACCTTCTCCAGCTGCCAGCACTGATTCCTGCCCTCTGTCTCTTTATTAATCACTATTAATAATGCACAGTAATATAATAATTGCTATTATATCTTTACTAATTTTAGAGCATGCAGTAGCCAAAGCTTTCTGGGCTGTGCGCAACAATTCCAAAGACTGTAGAAACATTTAAATAGTTAGGATTACAAAACATCGGGATGAGGCCAGACTTCCTGGGGAAGTCTATTATGTTAGGGAAAGTTGAAGGCAGAAGAAGAAATGAGATGGACGGACTCCATCCAGGAAGGCACTGCCTTGAATGTGGAAGGGCTGTGCAGGGCTGGCTTGTCATGAGCAGAGCTGGCTGGAGCCGGGGGTCAGACTAGATAGCTTGGGAGGTACCTTCTGACCGTCTATGTTTCTAGTTTGGAGGGCCCTTGTTCATAGGCTTGCCGCAAATCTGAGACAACTCAGTGGCTCGTAGCAACAAGTAACACGAAAAGGAGAACTCAAGTAAACCCAGCAGCAGTGAAAAGATTTAGAATCCAACACAGACAAAAACAGGTGGAAGCTAGAATTGTTGGGACAACGGGGAAAATAAGGTCTTCATCTGTCGCCAGCAAGGGTACAATGTCGGTGCCCGGGGAGCCTTCCCGGGTCGTTCCTTCCACGGCCAGGGTGCCACTCCCCACCTCTCAGTCACTGCCCTGTTGAGGATGAATTCCCCTGAATCCTTAAAGAGTCCGGCCCCGGAGCTATTTCAGGCCTCGGATGTGAACGCCAGCCCTCTGCGTAGGGCTCTGGACGTGTCGATGGAAAAGGACTGGCGCACTGAGCTCAGGTTGGCCGCTCTCTGCTCACGGCCTGTTCTGGCCCAGCTGTTTTGGGCTGTCCCACATTGGAGGCCTTTTGGGGCTGCCCATGGGGTTTTCATGGCAAGGGGACTGGAGTGGGCTGCCATTTCCTCCTCCAGTGGATCCGTTTTGTCAGAGCTCTCTGCTGTGGCCTGTCCGTCTTGGGTGGCCCTGCACGGCACAGCTCATAGCTTCATTGAGCTACGCAAGCCCCTTTGCCACGACAAAGCAGAGACATCACTGCCGACAAGAGTGTGTCTAGTCAAGGCGATGGTTTTCCCAGTTGCGATGTATGGCTGTGAAAGCTGGACCATAAGGAGGGCTGAGCGCTGAAGGACTGAGGCCTTTGAATTGTGGTGCTGGAGGGGACTCCTGCGAGTCCCTTGGACCGCAAGGCGATCAAACCGGTCAGTCCTAGAGGAGATCAACCCTGACTGCTCTGTAGAAGGCCAGATACTGAAAATGAAACTCAAATACTTTGTCCACCTAGTGAGAAGGAAGGACTCCCTGGAGAAGAGCCTGATGCTGGGAACAATTGACGGCAAAAGAAGAAGGGGAGGGCAGGGGATGAGGTGGCTGGATGGAGTCACTGGGGCAGTGGGTGTGGGCTTGGGTGGACTCCAGGGATGGTGGAGGACGGGAAGGCCTGGAGGAGCGTTGTCCATAGGGTCGCGATGGGTCGGACACGACTTCGCGACTAACAACAACAACAACAAACAACAACATTGGAGGCATTGCAGTAATCCAACCCAGGGGTCAGTGGAGCGTGGATTCCTGTGGCCAGGCCGCCTCTGTCCCGATCAGAACATCATGGGGCTATCGACTTAAGCTGGTAAGAGGGACCCCCAGCCCCGACCCTGAGCCCACCTGTGCCCCTAGCAACAGTGCTGGATCCAGGAACACCCCAAACTACGAGGCCCGATCCTTCAGGGGGTGTGCGTCCCCCTCCAAAACAGGTCGAATATCGCTCAGCCTGGCAGGCAAACCACCCAGGAACAGGGCCCCCATCTTTTCTGGGCTGAGTCTCAGTCCAGGGCTCCGGCTGCACCCAGCGCTGGATTCAGGGCAGCCCCCACCTTGGCCCAATTTGATGGGAAGGAGGGACAGGGCTGGGCGCACCCGCCGGATGGCCAGGTCTCCCCCCACACGCCCAGATCGCTTCCCCCAGCGTGGTGGCATCCGGCAGCGATGGCGTCCTTCGTATCCCTGGGAAAGGGGACAGGCCTGGGTTAGGAGAGGCCCTGCGCCTTTGGGTTGCCATATCCCTTGCTAAAGGCTGGGCTGCTTTTCGTTTCTGCATGAAGACAAATCGATGCATCGCTCACGGATACCTGAGAGGCGCACTGAGCCCCTCCGGAGGGAGACGGGCGCCCAGCTTACCTTTGTGGAGGATTCCTGTGTCCGTGAAGCTCGTGAGGAGGAAGAAGATGATGGTGGGGATGAAGAGGTGGCTGCAGATAATGGGGAATGCCCAGGAGACGTGGAGGGCGAGCCAGCTGCAGCTGGGAGAAAGCAAAGCAGGTGAGCGGCAGGCTCCAGTTTCCGGACACAGGAGGGGCTCCCCTCCAGGGGAAAAGGCCAAGGCTAGCTGGACCTAATTTTCGAGGCTGTGGGCTTGTTTTCCCACGTAGAAGACATGCCCAAGCAGGGTCACCAGAAGGAAATGCATTTAATATGTATTTCCTCAAAAGATGATTAATGCACCTTTCAGGGGGCACTGAAACAAACAAGCAAAAACGAAGCCAAAAAAAAAAAAAAAACACCCCCATACAGTGTAAAAAATGGACAATTTATTGACCAGCATTCTTAACCCCTGAGACGTTCTGTAGGGGGCGGGATAGAAAAGCTTGAAATAAATAAATGAATAACTAAATGTATTGGCATGAAAGAGCAAAATCAAGAGAAAGGGCATGCCAAGCGCCCTCTGGAACACGTGTGTGTTTGTGGCCCGTTGGAAGGTGACCAGAACTCCTTGGAGGGACATGATCCCATACCGTCCTGGTGCCCCAGCAGGGAAGGCCCTGCTCCCCAGACGTCTGTCCGGCCACCTGCCGCCTTCTGAGGACGGAGAGACACAAAGCTGAGCTTCCCCTCCCGATCTGCAGGCGACCGACCGGCCCCCAGGTGGGGGAACGCCGCCCGGAGCCCGTGCTCCGACTTACGGGAAGGTGAAGAAGAGGCAGCTGAGGCCCACGAGGCTGCTGAAATTGAACGAGGCGAAGAGACCGGAGGTGATGGAGGGGCATCCCTCTCGGCCGGAGGCCATGGCTCAAGGGATGGATTGGGACCAAACCGTTGGGCCTGGCCTGGACGGAATCACATTCAGCCAGTTGCTAAGAGACGTTGTGACATGGCAGAGGGGCCGGGTGGGAGGGGGCTTCTGTTGCCACGGTGGCGGCAGGCATGGACCCTCATGCGCCGGGAGGCGAACCCGCACGGCCCTCCTTGTCAAGGGCCTCCCACGCGGGAACCAGCCCTGCACCGTCCCCGGAAGGCCCCCTGTCTGCTCTGCTTTCCCTCAGCGCAGCAGCAGATCAGCTGGCGGTTAACACAATGAGCCGGTGTGTTTCCTAGTGGTCGGAGCATGTTGGGCTGGGACTCCGCAGAACCAGGTTCCAGTCCCCACTCAGCCACGAAGCTCACCGGGCCTGTCACTGACTCCCAGCCTAGCCTACCTCACAGGGTCGCTGTGAGGAAGGAACGGGGAAGAGGAGGCTCACAGGGGCTGCCTTGCGTTCCTGGCAGGAGGAAGGCGGGTGGGGTGCGAGGGGCTGTGCATCCAGCCTTCCTTCAGGGCCCTGGTCCCGAGACCATGAGACCTAGCCACCTGAAACTTGCCATGCATCCTAACGGGACCCCAGCCGTGGGCTCCGTTCACCTTTCAGCAGGCAATGAGAACATGTGCATCTGGAAGTGCTTTTAGGGCGTCTCTGATGGTGCTTGTTTTGCAGCACTTACAACTGAAAAAAAGCTGTGTTGCCAACTTTTTGTTATTGTGCTCATTTGTCCAGAAGTGTAAAAGGGGGTCACCCATATGGGAAATGTGTGTGGTGAGGAAAAGCCAGAACTGGAGGGACGCACCGACCTAAGAGGCAGTTCATCCACCGTGACCCAGTGAAGAATTCTGTGCAGTCAAGTGGTCTGCATACTCCAGACACCCATCATCTGATCAAGGGAAGGACGTTGCTTCACCTATCTTTGGGGGGGGGGGGGGGGGATGAAGGGGCAACTTTGTTTTATTGTAAGCCCACCCTGAGATTATTTGGTAGAGGATGGTAAAGAAAAGTTTCAAATAAATAAATAAATAAAACAAGCACGCCCCCTCACCGATTCAGGCACCATGGTCCAGACTCCCCCAACCTGGCACCCTCCAGAGGTGTGGGACCACAGCGCCCAGCATTCCCAGCCGGCACGGCAGGAGTCTGGGCCTGTCGCCCTCCAGCTTGTCCCTTGGTTTGTACAGCGCCATGCACCCTGAGCGTTGGTGCTGCCGAAGGGCTCTCCGCAGCCGCTCCAGGCCCGGCTGGGTTACCCCTCCGCCGGGTTGTGTGTTCGAAACCTCCCCTGGCTGAGCGAAAGCGTGACGGGCGCCTGTGGCTGAGGCGCCCCAGGGCCACCCTCCGTGGGAGAAGGGCCAGCGCTGTGGGGGCGCCCGAGCCCCCTCTCTGCACTGTGGATCTGCCCCTTTTCCTGCACCCAGATCCGCATTTCGCTTTCTCACACGTTTGCTTCTTTCCTTTCATCCTTGAGTTCCCTCTGCCCCGATTATGGGGTGGCGGGGGCTTCATTTTGTGACGTTTTTGGGCCACTGCCGGGGCGACCGCGTTCTCCACGGGAGCCTCCAGGGCTGCGTTCAGGGGGAGGCCCTCGGTGCAAGGCGCTGCCTTGATGCGCAGGGTAGCGAGAGCGCGACGGGGCCTCCTCGGCGGCTGCCCCCCCCCCCGGCCGCGGGGCTCCCTCCGCTCCATCCTTGGCCCGCTGGGGCGGTTCCGGCTGGCTCCCCGCGCCGCCTGCGCTTGGCTTTCCTCTTATCCCTGGTGCAACCCGGCTCTATGCGTGCCTGCAAGGGCCGCTTTCCTTGGCCGAAAGTCGGCGTGCGAACCGGATCGCCCGCAGCGCCTTGCCCGAGGGCAACCGGGAGGCCTGTGCACCCGGCCGCGCCGCGCCCTGCCCTGCCCTGCCCTGCGGCGAAGGTGCGCCGGGCCCCCGCGAGGCGAGGCCAGGCCGGGCCGGGCCGCAACGCGGGGGGGCAGCGAGCCGCCGGGCGCCCTTTGCCTCCGCGCCCAGCCCCTTCCTGGTTCGTTGGCCGCGCGGCGGCGGGCTGGGGCCGGCGCCTCCCGGTCGGCGAACCCGCCGCGGCCTGTGGGCGGGTGGGCAGGCGGGCGGGAGGCCGCGGAGGCGCAGACTCTGACCCGCACGGCCCGCGGCGCAGTGCTCGCCGCTGCCGGAGCCATGGACCCGCCGGCCAAGCTGCTGCAGGACCCCAGGTAGGCGCCTCGGGGCGCAGGGCGCGCTTCGCGGGGAGGCCCATGAGGCGCGGCTGAGGGACGAGGCTCGGGGGTCACATGCGGGCACGTGAGGGGCGCCACACGGCGGTGGGCAGAGACCTGTCCTCCCCTGCAGAGGAGGAGCCAAGGTCCCATGTGGATGCCAGGAAGCGCCTCCTGACAGTCGGGACCCCCAGGGTGTGGAATGGGCTTCCACGGGAGGTGGTTGAGGCCCCATCGGTGCGGGTGTTCAAGGACAGGCTGGACATGCACATGGTGCGCATGTCATGAGCGGAGTTAGCTGGGGTCAGACTAGATGGCCCGGGAGACCCCTTCTGACTCGCTCTGTTTCTATGTTTCTCCTCATTGGGACAGAAATTCCCAACTGTTCTTTTCTTTCCTGAAGTCCCACGGGTGAAACGCCCACGGTCCGCACCAGATTCCCAGCCAGCTCTCAGTCTTCCAGCGGGTCGCCTGCCCCCGCTGGAACTGCAGTCTCGTCCGTCCGCTTAGCTGGGAGTAAGAGCTGTTGAATTGGATGGGCTTTGCTTCTGACAGTGATTATCACTTTACTTTTATGCCTTCCTCTTCCTCTTCCTGCAAGGAACTCAAGAAGCTTGCAAAAAAGTGTCTTCTTTCCATTTTATCCCACGACTGTGGCCCCATGAGAAGGTTTGGCTCAGGCTGAATGGCAAGTCCGAAGTCACCTGGCAAGCTCAATGGCCTCAGGGGGACTAGAACCCGGGTCTCCCAATTTCCCAGTCCAGTGCTCTAACCACTAGACAACACTTACCCTCAAGATACATATACATGTGCCCTGTAGAAGCAGGAGCGCTGCAGGCACGCACTTTGGGGGAGTCTGCAAAGCCAGGCTGTGACGCCCTGAGGTGGGCAGGGGGTGGCAGACAGAGCTGTGAGGGTCCTGGCTCTCACCTGGGTGGTCATTCTCTTGTCCTTCCCACAGGTTCCCCCTGGAGTTGGTCCAGCTGTTGATCTATAATTACAGCGTCCCAGTGGCCTGCTTCTCCCAGCCACCAACCGCATTGCAGTGGTTCCACCGTAAGTTTGCCCAGGGGCTACTTTCGTTTAACACCTAGGCAGCACAGGGTTCCCAGGTATGCCACTGCTCTCAGGTGACTCTGAACAGCAGGAAGTGCAGAGACCATTGGCTGTAGTGGGGTGATCCAAAGGACTTCAGTATACCCATAAGTATACTATAGGTTTATTATGTATTTGTAATAAAATGTATCCTGCCCCCCTTACCTGGCTGAGTCTTCCTGAGAAGGCGGAGAACAAACCCAGAACTGCATGTCGCCTTGTCTTTGATCTCAGCAGAGATATCCTTAGTTTGAAGCTGCTTTACACCTTTGGCAGATCTGGTCCTGAGCTGCAAAAAATGCAGCGAAGGTCCTTGTAGCATATTAAAAACTAACAAACCTAATTTCGTGAACTTAGAGCCACTTCCTCGGATGGATGGAGCCACTTCCTCCCTGTGCAATGCCGCCATCTGGTCCGGAATTATTGGATGAATTTCAGTTATTGCGGCCTGATGATGTGAACAAGGTGCTTGGACGAGTACGTCCCACCACTTGCCTATTGGACCCTTGCCCGTCTTGGTTAATAAATAATTCCAAGCACGGGATTGGGATCTGGATCTTGGAAGTGGTTAACGCTTCTCTGAGGGAGGGCTGGGTACCTGCCCCTTTAAAGGAGGTGGTAGTCCGACCGGTCCTGAAGAAGGCGTCACTGGATCCAGAGATGGCCACTAACTATAGACCAGTGGCCAACATCCCGTTTCTGGGCAAGGTGTTGGAGCGGGTGGTGGCGGGACAATTCCAAGCCCTCTTGGACGAAACTGGATTATCTGGACCCATTTCAGTGCGGCTTCAGACCCGGGTACGGTACTGAATCTGCCTTGGTCGCCCTGTACGATGACCTGTGCAGGGAGAAGGACAGGGGGAGTGCGTCCCTGTTGGTTCTCCTGGACCTCTCAGCGGCTTTCGATACCATCAACCATGGTGTCCTTCTGGATAGGCTAGCGGGATTGGGGGTCGGAGGCACTGCTTGGCAGTGGTTCCGCTCCTATCTCAATGGCCGATTCCAGAAGGTGGTGCTGGGGGACTATGGCTCTGCACCATGGCAGCTATGCCATGGAGTTCCGCAGGGGTCCATTTTGTCCCCTTTGCTGTTTAACGTCTACATGAAACCACTGGGAGAGGTCATCCGGAGGTGTGGGCTGCGGAATCATCAGTACGCTGATGATGCCCAGGTCTGCCTCTCGTTTTCCACCAATCCAGGTGAGGCAGTGGCTGTGCTGAACCGGTGCCTGGCCGAGGTGATGGGCTGGATGAGGGCCAATAAACTGAAGCTCAATCCAGACAAGATGGAGGTCCTGTTGGTTGGCGGATCGGGCTTCGGGGAGGGTGAATTGAACCTAGTCCTGAATGGGGTTGCACTCCCTCTTAGGGACAAGGTCCGCAGCTTGGGAGTGCTCCTCGACCCAGAGCTTTCACTGGAAGCTCAGGTGACAGCGGTGGCGAGGAGCGCTTTCTTTCAGCTTCGGCTGATCCACCAGCTGCGCCCCTACCTGGAGAACGACTGCCTGGTGACAGTGACACATGCGCTGGTGACTTCCCGCCTTGACTTCTGTAACGCGCTCTACATGGGGCTGCCCTTGAAGACAGACCAGATACTTCAATTGGTTCAAAATAGAGCTGCCAGGCTGCTGACGGGGACTGAGCGTTATGTTCACATGACTCCAGTCCTCCGTCAGCTTCACTGGCTTCCCATTGAAGTCCGGGCCCAATTCAAGGTGTTGGTGGTGACCTATAAAGCCCTAAACGGCTTGGGTCCTGGTTACCTGAAGGAGCACTTGCATCCATATATGCCCGCCCGCCCCTTGAGATCTGCGGGAGAGGCCCTTCTCCGGGAACCCTCCGTGAAAGAAATTAGGAGGGTAGGTACTCAGAGGAGGGCTTTCTCTGCGGTGGCGCCTAAGTTATGGAACGCGCTCCCCAGAGAGGTCCGCCTGGCGCCGTCGTTATTTGTTTTTCGGCGCTAGGCGAAGACCTTTTTATTTAAGCGTCATTTTAATTGTTAATATTATTTGATTATTTTATCTGACCAGGGCGACTTATTTTATATTGTTATTTCTTGTATTTTAACCTAATGTTGTGAGCCGCCCTGAGGCTTCGGCGAATGGGGCGGCATAGAAATGTTTTAATAAATAAATAATAAATAAATAACAGCCGCCTGTGTTTCCCTGCAGAGCAGAACGCGGTGGAGCTTGGCATCACCTGCATGGTGACGCTCCTCACCCTGCTCTCCGTCGCCATCTTTGTGGAAGATGCCCTGTATCTCTGCAGGAAGGTCCGCTGCTTCGTCAAAATGAAGACCCTCATCTGGAGCAGCTCCTGCCCCACCGTAAGTGCCCGTCCCTCGAGAAGGGCGCCTCGCACATGGCTGGCCCGACTCTGGGCACCTCCGCTGCTGTGCTCGAATCCAGGCACCAAGCAAAGGCCTCCTCATCCCCCAGACTGGTTTTTTTTATTCCTTGCTCGGGTCTCATTTTTCCCAATGGTGTTTTGCTGCTGTATTCAGGGTTCCGATGGATTGTTTGCTCTGCAAACAGCCCTGCAAACTGGTATTGTTCAAAATATATTAATAGCACAGGCACCGATAAAAAGGAAAGCCCCCTGGGAAATTTTTTCCTCTTTAAATTCTTTTCTCTTGAACTATTATTAGAAGGTTAAGCCACGGGCCTTTACGGGTTGAACGAGTTGCTCTTTAAACACCCGCAGTTTAGCCAGTTAGTTTAGCTGGTTAGCAAGCTAGTTAAAATCCAGATGCCTTTAAGTGAGAGTTTCTGCTGCTTAGGGCTGCTGAAAACCTCCCCACACCCCACGACCCCGCGGGCTTTGCTGTTTCGGGGGTCTTTCTCTGAAACCAGCGTGGCTGCGGGGAAGAGCCAGAGGGTGCTGGGGTCACGGGCCACATGTGGCCCACGGAGCCGCTCTCCTGCTGGATCCCGGATCCCTGGAGAGCTTTGCTGGATGGTGGAGAAGGGGAGGAGCAGACGGGGTGCCCGATGAGGGACCCGCAACCGCTGTCGGGGTCTCTGCGGTTCACACCCCTGCGCTTCACCCCGGCCCGCCTTCCCTCCCTGCAGGTCGTCTCGGTGTTCTGCCTGACTGGGCTCTGGGTCCCTCGCGCCATGGCCTTGGTGGAGATGGCCATCGCCACGTGAGTGTCCCTCCGGGGGACCGCTGCCCGCCTGGAGCAAGGCGGAAATCGGCCCGGCCCTTTGGATCCACACTGGGGGGGAGTCCCACACCCAAGGACCCCTTGGGGGAGGAGGCGGGGGGGCCTTGCCACGGATGCACTCGCGCCCCACCCTCTCCTGTTTCGCCCGCCAGGTACTTCGGCGTCTGCTTCTACCTGATGCTGCTGGTGCTGGTGCAAGGCTTTGGGGGGGTGGCGGCCGTGCTGAAGGCCCTCCAGGACACCCCCATGGTGATCAGCACTGGGCCGTGCTGCTGCTGCTGCCCCTGCTGCCCCCGCGTGGCCATGACCAAGTGAGTAGGGGGGGGCGTGGGCCGGGCTGCCAAGCCCCGAGCCAGCTCACGCGGAGGCGGGCAGGCCCCCCGCTTCTGGGGCCCCTCCTCCGGAGTGCAGCAGCCGCTGGCGCCCTGGAACGGGGCAGGGGCAGGGGAAGGGCAGGGTAAAACCGGAGCGCAAATCCGACACCAAACCGTTTGCTGAAGCACGCAGACTCGCCTGGGGAAGCCCTGGGCTGGCGCTCCTTCTGTGGCCGTGTGCTGGCCTTTCAGCCCAAGGGCCGAGCCCCGTTTTGCAGAAGCGGCTGGGGCCAGCGTGCCGGGCAGCGGGCCAGTGGGGCAGCGTGGAGCACGCCAGCCTGTTGTCGCTGGAAAGCCTCGCTGTCGGTCACTCAGACTTTGGTGTGCGTTGGTGCCCCGCCGCAGCAGGGGGCTGGACGCGATGGCCTTCGTGGCCCCTTCCAACTCTGCTCTTCTAGGATTCCATGGCAAGCCTCTGCTCATGTAAAGAGCACCAAGCCCAGGCTGGAAACCTCTCCCAGTCCTTCCCTGCACAAGCCCTACAACTGGCGAGCCCCTCATTCTCGGTGCCCCTCATGGGGCCAGGGACCAGGCACGGCAATAGCCGTTCTCCTCGCCTGTGTCCTCTTCCGTCTTTCCCTCTGATCTCGCGGTCGGTCTGGGAAGCTGCAGCCAGTGGCCCCGATGGAGCTCCCAGGGCTCCTGCCCCCCCGTCACCCCTTCCTCGGTGTCCCCCCCTTCAGGATCCGATAGCTCAGCCCCCAGAAAGCCTCTGCGTCAAGCAGCCCTCGGCTTCTCTTGCTGAGCAGGGAGCTTGTCGGTTTTGGCTTTGATGGTACCAGTTGTCATGAGAGATGGCAGCCCAAGGTTGGCGGATGAATGGACAAGGAATCCCAGATGGCATGAGCACATTCAAATCTCCAGGGTCCAGTGAGCTCTGTCCCAGAGTCTATATTCTTTTTGGCGCCAGGTTAAAACCTTTTTATTTAATGGCTATTTTAAAAATTAATTTTATAGTTAACAGTTGCTTTTTGGTTTTTGTTTTTATATAATCTATTGAATTTGTTATTGTTTTATTGTTTTTAATTCTACATTGGTAAGCCGTCCCGAGATGCCAAGGCATATGGTGACGAGATATAAAAGTAATCAATCAATCAATCAGCTAGTGAGGAAGTCTCAGAACTAGTGGCTGTTATCTTCAATAAATTTTAGAAAACAGAAGTGCCAGATTGACTGGAGAAGAGCTGACATGTTCCCTGTCTTCAAAAAGGGGAAAAAAGAGGAACCTTTGAACTACAGACCAGTTAGTCTGACTTCAATTCCTGGAAGAATTCTGGAGAAAACAGTTAAAATATCCGTCTGTAAGCACCTTGGACAAAATGCAAATGATTAATCAAAGCCAACATGCATTTATCAAGAATTAACCCTGTTAGGCTAAGTTGATCTAATGTTTTGGCTGGGTAAACTCCCAGCTGGACAGAGAAAACACCGTGGGCATAATCTTGGCTTTAGCAAAGCTTTGGACGAAGCGCCACGACATCTTGATAAGCAGATCTGCGAAAAGCGGACCGCGAGGTGCATGCCAAGCTGGCCGCGAAGTAGCGCTCCCCAGCAGCGCCTCCCCAGGCCGGACGAAGCAGCTCCCCATCTCTCTCTCCCTGCAGGCGCACCATGACGCTGATGCTGCTGGGCAGCTTCCAGTACACCTTCCTCAGGGTGGCCTTCTCCTTCTTCGGGCTGGTCTTGGCCACTGAGGGCCTGTACAACACGGCGGATGTAAGTGGCGGCCGGCCCTGCCCAGGGCAGTGCAAGGGATGCGGGGGGGGGGAGGCGGGGAGGCCCTCTGGGGCCCGGGGGCATCCGGAGCCACTGAGGGGGAAGAGGATGGGGCGGGGGGGGGGTGCTCCTGGATTTGCTTTCTCTTGCTGCCCCTTTAAGGCAGGTGCTGCCGTAAAGTCAGGAGACAGTTTTTGTGAAGGATCTTCCGCGTTGCCCTCCTTGAAGCTGGCACCCTCTCAAGGGTTGGGGTGACAGTGTCCACCAGCCCCAGGCAGCACAGCCAGCTGGAGCGTGGAACGTGGCTGGGGATGATGGGAGTTGTCACCCAACACATCTGGGTTGGTGATAGTTAGATCCACGGGGTTCTGCGTGATTCATTCCCTGCAAAACTTTTGCTTTTCACGTGGCTCTCCAAACAGGGGAGATGGAAATAGTCAGCATATATTTTGCATATGTAGTTCCTCCCTCCCTCACGCACCTTTTTCTGGGAGACCTGTGGAGCAACCTGTTGTCACCCTGGGACCACAGGTTTGGGGGCAAGGGGGTGAGAGCAGATGAGAAGGCTGGGCTTGTACATTCCATGGGTCTTTGACTGCACTGTAAAATGTGATTTAGCTGGTAACCTCACGTGCAGCTTTAGTTTTGAGAAAAGGCGATTTTAGACCTTCCAATAGCAAAGTGTCTACACGGTGTCTGCTCAGATATCAGAAGCTGGGAAGTCTTCCAGTTTTGGGAAATAGATTTTTTTAAAAGAATGCTATGCTAAATATTTATTTCTCAAATATTTCACTGCCTAACTGAAAAATAGGTTCTCATTCTGCATTTCTGACCCATGGTTCCTCTTTCTGGTTAACAGTAAAATCACACTGCTGTGGGTCATACCCACAATATGGCAATGTGTGACAGCAACATTGATCAATCCCAGCCGTGATGCCCAGAAATAGCCAGGGGGCTGGTCTTCCTCAGAAATGAAAAATGCTAAATTTTTACCAGAATTGGGTTACTAATAAAGGAAACTTAAGTCCTGAGTATTAATTGGCTCCAGCTGCCAAGAGGCAACTTCAGGTCAAAATTACATCCAATAATTCAGAATGACGAGGGGAGGGTGTGATGATGCTCCTTAACTTTTCCGCAAAATGTGATAACGCAATGAGAATGGTGCCACACCAATGAATTTATCTTTCTATTGATACCAGGAACATAACTTTGCATTCATTTATTGGTTTTTCATGTAACATGTTCATGCTTTTTGCATGAAAAACTGGCAGGCTCTAACATCAGAATAAATGACAAGGTTCCATCTTTATTTGGTAACCAAACTGTGCTTTTTGGCTTGCGAACTGCCGTACTTTGTCGAGAAGTTACAAGGCATCGTGGCCCATCAGACACCTCCCTCCCTCGTAGGCAAATATACTCACCTGTGTATAAATCTTTGTTGTGAAATATTTTGAAACCTTTAGCCAACCCGCACCTTTAGCAGCTGTTTCCTAATTCATCTAATCAAAATATGTAAGAATTAGCACATTTTATCTCAGGGGTTGATAATTTCCCTAAATTTGTGGACCAGTGGGGGGTGGTGACCCAGCAGAACTGGAGGGCACCAGACGGGGGGGAAGCCGGCCTGACATATTAAGAGGGGGACCATGCCTGTCCTTCAAGGAGCCCTCTGGAAAATTCAGGCTCTGCCGACTCATGTGTTGCTCCTGCCCCCTTTCTCTCCTGCCTCTAGATTTCAGCCACAAGCCCGGCGCTTTGGATGAACTCCTTCCTTGGCGTGTCCACCATTTTTGCCCTCTGGGCCCTGGCAGTCCTCTTCCGGCAAGCCAGGACACACCTGGCCAAACAGAACGCAGGGGGCAAGTTCGCTTGCTTTCAGGTAACCCGCTCTTACGTCAGTGGCTGTGAAAAGTGGGGGGGGGGGCAGATCTGCCCTCCAGGCGAGTTGGAGGACCCCTCCCCGCAGCCTGCCGGGGGTGCCCTCCAACCCGCCCGGAAGGTGGTCCGGAGGCAGCTCATTCTCTTGCTCCGCTGCGCTTGCTTTCAGGCTCTGCTCATCCTGACAGCGCTGCAGCCGTCCATCTTCAGCATCTTGGGCAACGGTGGGCAGATCGCCTGTTCGCCGCCGCTCTCCTCGAGAGCAAGGTCCCAGCGTGAGTATCTATCACAGCCTTGCCTCCTTGTGCTGGAACCAGGATGGGGAGTGCTGGGGCCCTCCAGCAGCTGCTGGCCGGCAACTCCCTTCAAAGGCACCCAGCCTGGCAAGTGGGCAGGGAGGATGGGACATGCAATCCAAAGATATGTGGATGATCCGGTCACCACCCCACCCCTGGGTTAAACCAAGATAACAGAGAATGGAGATCTCTCAAGGGAGGAAGCAGAAGTGGCCTTTAGATTTGCGGGGGGGGGGGG